TTTTAATAATAATAATAATAATAATAATAATAATAATAATAATAATAATAATAACAACAACAACAACAACAATAACAACAACAACAATAATAATAACAACAACAACAGCATCAAAACAACAAAACAACAACAACAACAATAATAATAATAGAAAACCAGAAAAGGGGGGGTGTCTTTATTACTGGCCATCCTTCAAGCAAAATGTTATTTTAATGAATTCTCCCACCCGCCCCCTTACCGGGAAGCATTTATGGTTAAAGGAACAGGAGGTCAGAAGCTTTTCTGCAAATGAGTCACCGTCGTATTGCCAGAAAACTGAACACATACTGAAAAAGGCGGGGGGTGGGGGTGGGTGGCGCTCTTTAAAACAAAAGCCCAAGAACGATGCCGTTTTATTTTATTTTTTTTATTCTGGACGGGAAAATAAAGAGAAATAAAGGAGATCTCTCATCCCAAACCATTGGCTGTTCCATAGCAACATGCACTGAAAAAGGCGGGGGGTGGGGGTGGGTGGCGCTCTTTAAAACAAAAGCCCAAGAACGATGCCGTTTTATTTTATTTTTTTTATTCTGGCCGGGAAAATAAAGAGAAATAAAAGGAGATCTCTCATCACAAACCTCTGGCTGTTCCATAGCAACATGTACATAATATAAACATGCACACACACATACATGGAGAGAATAATATATTTCCCTCCCTTGGATATTAACAACTCAAGGAAGCCATTTTGGAGGCCAACCTGCCCAAAGGAATAACCACAGCCATCGGATCAAATCACATTGAGGGGCATAAGGGTGTGCTTAGGCCAAGAGGGTGTAGAATTAGGATCTGTCTGTGCATGTTTCACTCCGGAATTTGAAAGATAAAAACGAGGCGCTGATGACAACGGTAGGAAGCCAAAAGGGTCATGAGGAAATCAAGGAGGCGGGAGAGACCACCGGAAACCTTCTCGCCCTGGCTGATATTCCAGTCACCTTCTGCCTTACGAGTAACTCTAACTGGGTTCGCATGAGCCTGGAGTGTGATCATAAAACATTAGCAGCTCCGCCAAGCTTTTGCTTCCCCCATCTCATCTTTCTTTAGAGCTATTAATTAGAAATTACTTCAGGGCGTCAGAAAGGCAACGAACGTCCATTGTGTTCAGAGATTATCAACACCCCCAGCGTGAGAGGAGGTGAAATGTGAGACAGCATCGTGTACGCGGCAAAATACTGAACGCCTCTGGTTCTTCAGCCTTCCAGGTCTTCTTCTGGACTACAACTCCCAGAACTCCCAGCTAACATGGCCAAGGGTGGGGGTTCCACACTGTCTGGAAGCCACTGCTGTCGTATCCACAGGGAGGGGGTCGCTGAAGAAAAGCGAGGCTGGGTCTTCAACTAGAATCCATATTCTATGACTCTTCGGTCTTAACCTGGGTTTAGCGTTACAGCACCACCGATACTAAACCACAGTTAGTGGTAAACCCAGTTACAATCGTCATTGAATCTGGAATCCAGATTTTTAAGCTGATTTGCTCACACTAATGAAAAAAGCCCTTGACCAGTACTGGCACATGAGCAACAAAGTTCTGGATAAAGCCAAAAAGAGAAGGAAAAGGCGAGAAACTTTCTTCCTTTCTCCTCTTGTGTGATTTTTGCCCCTTTGCTGGCTTTCTGCGTGTTTTGTGCTGTCTAGTCATAGCTGATTTATAACAACCCTAACAAGGCTTTTAAGGCGAGTGAAATATTTATTTAAGGAGTGTTTTTCACCAGTTACGCCCACCCGTGAGTTTCCATAGCTGACCTAGGATTCGAACTCAGGTCTCCTCATTCATCTAGGCAACACTAAGCAGAGTTTGATCGTCCTTAGGATGTGGATGCTGAGAGCAATCTCTGACTAAGAGGGGAGCCACAATGAATTCGAACCAAATCGGCCATCGCTGCAGACTGACATAAAGCCAGAGGTCAGGAACACTCAGCCCACCGGTCTTATCCGGCCCCACAAAAGATCTACATTTGGCCCATGAAAGGTCCAGGGTTGTTCCCCACCCGAAGCCGAAGCCCTGAATAAAAAGCAACGGCCCCTCCCTCTTCTACGCCGTTTACTAGTCAACTAGGAAGGCGAACAGAAGTCAAAACAAAAAAACCCAACACTGCTATTTCTCTCAGGCCCAAGAGGAACAACCACACAACGGTTAAAATCAGCAAGAGAAAAATCGGTGGTGGAGATGATGGGGTGAAGGTTGACCCGGACCACCTCTTAAAAACAATTAAGGGATCCTTCACCTGAATCACACACCCAACATTTAGAAGCACGCAAGTACACTGTAGATTTCTTCAGCTGCTTGAAGAATTATGGGAACTGTAGTCCACAAAGAGAAATCACCACACCTCTCAATGCCGCTATCCACACATACGGAGAGCTTTTCCCGTTGGGCCTGCGCGCCTCCGCCCTTACCTGCTGGTGCTGCCGGGCTCCATCCGTGATGGACTTGACCACGGTGGCCATCAGCGGCTTGCAGATGACCTTCGAAAAGAAGAAGAAAACTTGCCAGTTTGGGGAGGGGGTGGCAGAGGCTCCTTCCAGCGTCACAGGGGACAGGCGAGGAGCAGAGCGAGAGAGACGGGGGAACTCCCCGCCACAAGATGAGAGGGAGTTGTAGCAGAATGGAAGAGTCAACGTCCAATGATCTCAAGTTGGATTCCTTGAGACTCTCAAGGACAAAACCCTTCTGAAAAACCTCCCTCTTAGCATCGGCCAAGAACACACTGGGCGACAAAGAGAAAGGAACAAGAGGTTCCCTTATGAGATTTACTTTGTGTTTGTTACTCTCAAGGTGGGCGGATTGGGGCCCTTGTTTTACACCTCCAGCACAAATATTGTGGCTTCTGAACGCTACCATAGGTGTGAAAAACAACTTTTTTTGGCAAATCCATATTTTTCAGGCTGGAGTAACCTGAGAGCCTCAAGCAAACTTGGAGGGGAACACACCATGTCCTGAATAGCTGAGAGTTGCTCTGTCTGGGGATGCTGGGATCTGTAATCCAACTTGGCTCCAGCTGTCCTCCACTGGTGAAGCCCCCCCACCTCTCACAAAGAGAGGAACGGAGCCCGCACTGTTTGGGGGAAGGGATCAAGGGCCAGACGGATAAGGCACGGATAATGCCGAGACTCCTCCCAATGATTTCTCAACGGGTGCAAAACCGGCTCTTCCCCAACTTACCGGTTGGCGTTGAAAAAGATCGAGGAACATGGCCCCTGTCAGGGGACTTTTGCGTTTCGTCAAGAAGAGCTTCAAAGCCTCGTCGTAGATCCCGACCGCTCGGTCCAAATCCAGACTGCCGACGGTCAAGGGCTAGGAGGAGAAGATGCAGAAGGAAAGTGATGATTCTAGCTATTCCCCAATCACAGGGAACAACACTGCCTAAGGTGCCGTACGAGGGGGAGAAAGCTTCTCGTCATCATCACAATGACAAGGTGATGATTCCAACCCGTCTCAGAAATGCTCCCACATCTTTTAGAAATAAAGTTTCAACAGTAATGTGAACCACAGTGGTTCATGCATTGGCCAGCTCCAAAATAGACTACTGCCATGCTTTCTACATGGGGCTGCCCCTGAAGGCTATACAAGAGCCATCAACAGGTCCAAAGTGCCGCGGCCAGACTTATCACTGGTACCAGCAGGTTTGAACGCATTTCTCCAGTTCTGGCAGAGATTCATTGCCAACTAGCTAGTTTCCATACCCAATGAAGGATTCTGCTCATGACCTAGAAAGCCCTTAATGGTTTAGATGGGTTTGTTATGAGGTTTATTACATTTCGTTCATCAATTTTTCTTTCTAATGCCTCCTAGATCAACAGATCTCAGGGTATGGTACAATCAGTAACGTTACCTTAAAATAATTCAAATATTTACAGGAATCCGAAACACTTCAATAAGACTTTAGAGGACTTCCAAGACAAAATAAAACTAGCAAACCGAAATATCGGGGAACTAAGGAGAGTTTTACAGGTACCCTGAACTGCCAGAAAGATGAAGAAGCGGGTCCCAGATCAAATCAAGGCTGAACTATCTCTGGAGGCAAAAGTGAGGAAAATAGGACTGTCCTGCTTTGGGAACATCCTGAGAAGGTAGGATTCCCTGGAAGAGACAATAATGCTGGGAAAAGTGGAAGGCAGCAGGAAAAGAGGAAGACGCAACGCGAGATGGACTTGGTCCCTAAAAGAAGCCACTGATTCAAAAAGAGGAAGACCCAATGTGAGATGGACTTAGTCCCTAAAAGAAGCCACTGGTTCAAGTTTGCAAGAGCTGGATAGTTGAAGACAAGATCTTTTGCAGATCATTCATTCAGAGGCTTGTCACGAGTTGGAAGCAAATAGCTGGATTCTAACTCAGTACCAAAGGCTGTATCTGCACTGGTCATGTGACCTGGCCTCACCTGACCAGCTGGCGTCCCACTGCCTCCGCTGGCCTTCAGCTTCTTTTTCGGCTGGGCTTCCATGGGGTCTGTTCCTGGGTTCCCCTTCAGCACGCGGAAGAGGTACAAAGACGCGCTAAAAGCACGAGAACAAAAAAATTATCAGGTGAAAATATCCCCAGGCGCATCACATGCTGCCTACTGGCTGGGCACCAATCCGCCTCGTTGGTTCCTGTCCCACATCACCAATGTACAGCTAGTGTTCCCTAAATGGCCAACAAAGCAGTAAGGAAAAATAAAAATGCAATATACAGTAGGGGGGCCCACATCCACTGGGAACTGGTTCAAAGTCTCCCATGTGCAATATACAGTAGGGGGGCCCACATCCAGCGGGGACTGACTGGTTCAAAGTCTCCCATGGATAATAGAAAACACTGTATATACAGCATGATAAAAGGGAAAAGAACGAGAACATTTTATTTTCACATGCATTACCAGAACTGGCCACTACAGGCCGCCAGAGGCCATTCACTCACAAGTATTCACCGCAATCTCTGGCTTCCTCTAGTGGCTGGTTCTGGTAATACATGTGAAAATAGCTTTCTGGATTTTTTTTCTTTTAATATTTTTAGACCGTGGGTAAGTGAATCAGTGGATATTGATCCCCTGGATGGGAGGCCCTATTAAAAGAACAAGCTCATTTAGATAAGAGGCAGACGAGTCCTACAGGTGAGGGAACCCTCACTTACAGGTGAGGGAACCAGCACGGACTGTCCCCTCTCTCCTGACGACGTGACAAATGAATTCCATCCCTCCAATGCTGGTTTCAACCCATCTCTTCGCTGAGTGATGATCAAGCCATAACCTCTTTAATTCTTGAAGCAGAGTTCTGTTCTGAATTCACAGCATCAGAAACACAGAAATATGCTACGTGACACTCTCTGCTTAACAAAGAAGGGAAAAGTCCAAGGCAAAATTCACACATAATTTTCTTCGCAAGCTATTGCTATTAATTTATTGAATTACAGTAGGACCCCCCTATCGGTGGGGCATTGATTCCAAGTCTCTCCGTGGATTCTGAAAAATGTGGATTACACTGAACACTATTTTAATAGTGAGCATTACACGTAACATGGTCTATCGCTCCCTCTAATGGTCATTTCTGGTAACTTCATCGTTACCAGGATGTTTAAAAAAATATTTTTAATATTTTCAGACCATGGATAAGTGAGTCAGCAGATACTGATTCCGTGGATACGGGGGAACCTACTGTATTCCATTTATATTCTGTCTTCCAAACAATGCCCACTAAAAGATAACTATTTTTTTTCCTGGAAACCATGAGGACTAGGAACTTGTTTTTAGCTTTTTCTTCCCGACAAGAATGTAGTCATTTTCCAATCAATGGGAAACAATAGTTTTCCAATCAATGGGTAGGCAGGCTGGCGCCTACGTCATCTGCTCAAGCCACCCACCTGAAGCAGTAGAGGGCTACCGAGGAGTCACTCTGCTTACACGCTCTCTTGACCAAGCTCTCCAGCTGGGTGTGCAGTTCCTCGCGGATGGGGGCCACGTTTTTGCAGTACTGCTTGGATCGACACAAACTGTTCCTGGGAAGCCGAACCCCCCAAAACACAATCAGCAAGATCAAAAAGTTTTGTTCTCACTACTGACTTTTCAATGCGGAATCCAAACCCACTACTTCGGGGGGGGTGTGTGTGTCAGCATGGATTGGGTTTAAATCAATTTGATTTCAATCGCGATTTAAAATCCCCCAAATCAGATTTTTTGGGGGGATAATTTAAATTCAAAAGTGATTTTTTAAAAAAAGTTTAATCGTGATTTACATCCATTAGAGTTTTAAAAACCCATTGTTCGATTTTTTTTAATCCATCCTGATTAGGGTCATGTTACGAGGGAAACATCTGGGTTCTAGATCAAGGGGCGCCTATAGGCCTCCTGCGGCCACCAACCCACCAGGGCTTAACGAAATGCCTTCTTGTGCATTGGGGGGGGGGGTTAGACGCCTCCACTGCTTCTGCACTCAAACCTCAGAGAGCCCGACCCGAAACCCCCAAACCAGAAAAGGTCTAGGAAAGTCTACTCCCCTTGTGTTTTATTTTTCTCATTTTTGTGCATTGGGGGGGGGGTTAGACGCCTCCACTGCTTCTGCACTCAAACCTCAGAGTCCCTGACCCGAAACCCCCAAACCAGAAAAGGACTAGGAAAGTCTAGTCCCCTTGTGCTTTATTTTTCTCATTTTTGTGTGTGTGTGTTTTCATAGAATCCTAGAATAATGAAGTGGGACGTGGCCTGTACTGGGTGCTTTACTTCCAAATTCTGGTGTATTTCCAGGGGGTGTTGTATTATCTGGAGTTACCTGGGGGGAGTTGCCTACAGCCAGCCCGCCTGCTCCCATCTCAATCAAGAAGTTCTAATCTCCCGGGAAATGAATGCCGGCTACAAAGAAGGTCGGGTCACCATTCGATGGACCCAAGATGTCAATCAGCACAAGGTGGGTTCTCACGGGCACGAAAACATCCACCGACAGACGGCGTCTCCTCCCAAAACGTACGTGAAAATATCGGCGGTCTTTCGGAGGTAATCCTGTTCCTGCTTATTGGATTCCGAGCTCATACTCTGTTCGATCACGGAGAGAAGGGGGTCGATCACCAGGAAGACGAGGGGGTTCTCGGGCTGCTTCGCCAGAAAAACCTCGACCAAATCCAGGACCTGGAAAAAGCATCAGCGGAAGGGAGACGGGCGTCAGAGGGCCAGCGGCACTGGCCACCGAGAGGACGATGAGAGACCAAAGCACACGTGGAAGTGAAAAGCAATGGCGAGCATGTTCAAATGGCCAATTTAATTCCTCTGGACCTGCAGTAGCTGGCTGGAGAGCTCAGGGGTTTTCTCTGCCTGCAGAGAGTTCAATTCCCTCCACTGGGCCTTCTTCGGAGAATAGCCAGCCTGGGTAGCCCTGGGCAAGCTGCACCGTCCCAGGGATCCCCCCCCCCAGAAGGGCGAGCCACCTCTGAGTCCTCTCTACATAGAAAACCCTGAAAAAAGGTCACCGTAAGCCAGAATTGACTTGATGGTCCACCATTGTTTGACAAGCTGTGGGCCAAAATGCCACCGCCTGGAGAAAAGGAAAGAGGGGGGGAAAAGAGAGAAATTGGAAATGAGGCTTTCCGCCACTTCTGATCGCTTCCAAAATTTCCTGTTGGACAAAGCTCCTTTCTCGGCGAAGCAACTTCTTAATGTCTGTGGGCTTTGTCTGGAATTCCAAAACCTACATTATTTCACAAGCTTAGACTGACCCCTGCAGGCCATGGCTGAAAGTCATGTAAATAGAATTCCTAACTAGTGGAAAAAGTTCCTTTTTTTAAAAGAATACTGCTTCAAGAATCTGCCTAGCTAGGATCACTATAAGTACTGCCCTCGGCTAGGAGTAACAAGAGTCAACGGTTTTGTGTAAAATGTTTACAGTCAATTTTACCTTGTTCTATCCTGCAGTTCGACTATAGTGTTACTGTGGACCGATGTAAGCAGGATTGGGGGATCCTGGGGGGGGTCCCCAAAACTCTTTCAAACAAAGTGGGAGTTTACTGAAACAAGAGGTGTGCAATTTAAAAATATTTAAAATTTAAAAAATAAATTTGGGATGGATTCCCCCCCCAAGAAAAAAACTCAGAGATGTGCACCCATTAGTTGATTACAGTTTTAGTCTACCCTAAGCGATTCTGTTTGGGAAAAAATTGATTCCTTTTAAATGCGGTGCTGGAGGACAGCCGTCAAATACCTTGGACAGCCAGAATGACAAGCAAGTGGGTGCTGTATCAAATCAAGCCTGAACCTGACGGGAAAAAAATGTGGAAATGGAGGTTGTCCTGCTTGGGGCACATCCCGAGAAAGAAAGATTTTTCTGGCGAAGACAGAAATGCTGGGAAAAGTCGAAGCCAGCAGGAAAAGAGGAAGAACTGAATATGAGATGGAGTGTCTCCCAAAGGAAGCCACAAGTTTGAGTATACAAGATTTAAGCAGGGCTGTTGAGGAGAGTCCATTTTGGAGATCGCTCATTTAGAGGGTCACCTGATGGCACAGAGATTCTTGCCTCCAAAAAACGGTCCCAACGTTTCCAAAATGCTTGAGCGCTGTTGCGTGCTTTCTCAAGCTTTCCGCCTCCCCCTCCTCACCTTGATTTTGAATTCCCGACGCAAGATCTTCTCCTTCCGAATCTTCTCCTTCTCGTCTTTTTTGGCCTGGATGCGTTTCTGCTGTTCGGCAAAGAGAGCCGAGAGGTTCTCGTCCATGGACATCATGGTCTCGTCGTCAACGTCTTCGTCGCTGTCGTCTCCACCCTTGGATTTCAGAAACCCTTAACATCACTACATTCATTCATTCATTCTTAAAGGAAACCAACCAGGATTGGAAGTTGAAAATTACACCCCCTTCTAAATAAACACAAATTTGAAGAACCATGAACTCCAAAACAGCACTAGGCTTCATTCTGACTACAATTCCCAAATGCCACTGGCCTTGTTGTATTTTAGAAAAACTACAGTTGGGGAATAAAAACTGAGACATTTTCCAAACTCTAGTATGAACGAACTTAACCCAACAAACGGCAGATTTTGAAGAGCAACCAAACCAGAAACTTTTTTTAAAATAGCAAAATTTGTGCTGCTTACTGTAAGAAAAGCTGCAACTTTCAGTCCATATAAGGAATCTCTGTTGTGATTTTCAGGGGGCGCATGCACGGACGGGCGAGGTGCGCCTGTGCATCACAGCAGGGGCTCTCTTGTTTCCAAGCAGGAACAGACGGAAAGTTACAGGTTTTCTTAAGCCAAACAACAGGGATTCGGCCGATGTTTCTAAGACTTCACCATTCACAAGATTTAAATCAATTTAATTCACAAGATTCTCCTACGACACTTACCAGGGCACTCCCGGCCTGCAAAACGTTTTGGAGCATGGCTCGGAAATTCTCGTCCACCGCCCCCTCGGCTTCGCTATCCGTCTCTCGCATCTCCTCCTCGTCTCCCTCAACGGCGCTTTCGTCCGAGCTACCCTCGCTCGAACTTTCGTCGCTTTCCTCGTTTGTGTTCTGTTGTGAAAGAGAGGCATACAAAAATTTTTTAAAATAAAAGGCAGGGCATAAAAGAAATAAATACCCCCTCTCTAGTACTACTGCATAAAATCGTAAGACTTTCCTGTATTTACTCAGTTTATCAACCTGATTTAAGAAGCTGAAAGGGAAGCAAGCTTAGGGGGAGTTAAGCGCATCATCCTACTGAACCCATAGGATGTTACCTCATGATCTGGTAAAGATTTCCTCTTTTGAGTGTCTTCTACCACCACCACTGCATTCTCTTCATCCTGGTCTTGTTTTGGATCAAGAACCTTCAAGGAGATGAAAAGACATTTACATCGTTAAGGGCTTTCAAGCTTCTGTTGCAGATCTCATGTGAAGCAGGGGGCGGGGCCTTCAGACAGCGGGGGGGCCACCCCCGGGGATTCCCCATGTGGCCACGCCCACTTTCCCACAACACCCCCCTTCTTCGGTAGTTCCCTTACTTTTGTAGTTTTTCTGTCCTGAATTCAGAAGGCTGACATTCTTCCGCTAAAATTTCGTTCAGTGGTTATTGGCCCCACCCGCCCCTGGGATGGTCTTGAGTTCTAATCTTGGGCTTCCCCACCACAGACGGAAGAAGACAGACCTCACCTTCCCGCTCTTCTCTCACACACATCTAAATACCCGTTTCTCGGATGAGAACTAGGACTGAGTCACTGAAACCAAGGACGGGCAGCATCCAGGCCTGAAAATTTTAATTTGTCTTTATGTTTCAGCTAGAATCGGGTTTTTAAAAGGAGGTGTAAACCGTGCTTCTCAACACAGAATCCAGGAACGTATTTTCAGTACCAGAATACTGTTCAAGCAGTACAAAAAAAAATCCATTCCTGATTTTCACAGCAAACTTCCTTTCCTCTCGACAGGCTTCTTTATAAAGGGGGAAGGAAGTTAGTTTGTTTTTCTTCTGTTAAAATTCTTTTGGTTTAATTCTATTTAATTATCATCTCTTAATTAATCAATTCATTGGGGGTCTCAAACATGCATGTTTGTTTAACGGCTGAACACACACACCCCTTCTGTTCCTTTACTGGAAGAAAGGTGCAATATAAATAGATATATAGGATCTACCGAAAATGACACCAGTAGATTCCCATTTATTTTCCACCCAACCCGATCTAAATGAAAGTATTTCCCCCCCCCTTCCGTCCTTTCATTCATTCACAGATTCATTTGTACAGAAAGGGGCGGGGGTTTGGATTTAAATGATTCCTCCAGGCATCCTCTCCAGATGATATCTGAACACCCCCTTTCCTCGGGTCCTATCAGAAGGGCCAACAGTTGAACTTGCTGGAAGTCCTGGCAAGCTCTAGAAAGGGATGGATGAAAAGAAAACCAGGGTTTAAGGTTTCTACAGTGGATTCCGGACGACTTCACCGAAGACACAACTCACGTCCAGCACAAGCTGTAGGGCTTCCTTCGTCATGTGTTGACACACCAGCCCGAACACGCTCTTGCACACCTTCCGGATGAGGGCGCTGGACTGGGCTAGAAGCGACAGGAGGACTTCCACAATCACCTCCACCCATTCGGGTTCCTCTTCCCCACCTGCACGGGGCAAAGGTAACATGTTCTGAGTCCTCAGACAACATGGACAGCCCATGCTATAGGTTGGATGGTTCTAACCAACGGAGAGGTGTTGGATTACAGCTCCCATCACCCCCAGCCAGAACGGACATGGTGGAGGGTATGGAAGATCACCCAAACAAAGGGTCAAATCCAATCGGTAGTCCCAACTAGTGTAGACCCATTCAATCCACAGCCTACTCTAGTTGGCACGGCTAACGGGGTTTAAGCCACTGAAAATTGCACCCTCTTAAAGGCTAACACAAATCGGTAGTCCCAACTAGAGTAGACCCATTCAATCCATGGGATTTACACAGCCTACTCTGGTTGGCACGGCTAACGGGGTTTAAGCCAATGAAAATTGCACCCTCTTAGAGGGTAACACATTTTTGCTTGGCATTAAGGCTTTTGTGGACCAGAGTCCACTTCTTCAGATGCGTGAAGCTTAGCCTCCGTCGACAAGCACTTACACACACGTTCCAAAGGGACAGATTGAATCAAACTAAAATACAAAAGATGCCAACATAGATGACTCCCATGGTTTTTCATCAAATAGTACTTGGGGGGGAAACACAGACAGCCTAACACAGATAAGCAGATTATATGCATCTATCTTGATGCTGCTCCAAATTGAGTTCAACCTCTAAGTGAACTCTTGAAGACAGTCGATTGCAAGTCTTTGCCACTTCCATTAAATGTCTGCTGTGCCTTCTTCCATTAAAAACCAAAATAGGCACACAAAGCAAGCCCCAGAGAGATTCTGAACATTAAGAAAGACTCAAAAAACCCATCCAGTGCTTCAGACTCTACAAAGCAGCAGCCGTTGTAAATTCGGACAATCTGCACGGTTCACATAAGGGTGCCATTCTCCAGAAAACCGGGCAACCCAAGTCCAAATATTGTCAATCTGGGGGAGAAAACCACACTCTTGGTAATCTGAAAAGTGCCCTATCAAAAACACTGGGAAGTCACTCATCGTCCTTGCTGGTGAGGAGAAAAATGTCATACCCTTTCATCTTCACACGTTAGAAAGGAGGCAAGCCAGAATCTGTCTTTCTAATACAGATAATGAAGACCGTCAGAGGTCATTAACAAACCATAGATAGGTGGTAAAAAAAACTGGGAGACTGGCCAGAAGTCGAGAATAACGGACTGGTTAGAAAGACGGGACCGCAGAATAAAACAAGGCGTAAAGAGGAAAACAGGACAGCTCGAGAACACATCGCAGCTCAAAGAAGACTCAACCAGAAGTGGACGGCTTCTTGCTGCGGCACCACGGGAGCCGAATTCAAAACACCCAGTTGGGAAAAGCAAACACAAGGGCCATAAAATCATTTAGGGATGGAAGACTCACTGGCTGGAGCCAATTTTCTCTTTGGGGGCTTCTCCCCGAAGGCCCGCTTGGTGCAGTTCTGTAAGTCGTTCAGGAGGGGTACACACTCGGCAGGAGACTGGGTTCAAACCGTGGGAGGAGAGGAAAAAAGAAGAAGGTGAGAACCAAAGGCAGTCAAATGTTTTAATCACAGAGACGGGAACAAACCAAAAGGCTATTTGTGTATACATTTAATTCTTCTTTGTGAGACATTTACTTCAAAATGCCTTGTTTTAAGAATGAGAAGCGTTTAGGCAGTCACTTTGTAAGCTGGAAATAGCACCAGGGAGATGATGGGTAAAACATGGTGTACACTGCAAACTGAAACCCTTACGAGCTGCTTCTGGAGGCATGGTTTGCCTTTTTAGAGTGGAAAAAACTGTTGGGAGTCCTTGCAACCTTGCATGCGGCCTTTACTAGGCTTGGCTGGGAGGGACCTTTCTGGGCTGGGATGACTGTCAATCTATCCAGCATCAACCAATCATACACTCCTGCCCCTAAACTGAAAGAGAGCCCCACCTCTCTGCTCGGTGTCTCTTTCCCTTTCAGTACTCTTTTGAAAATCAGTTACTCCAAGCAGTCATGTCTGTTGAGTTCGCTGTTTGATCTGTTCAACTATAAGTAATGAAGCCTTTTCTTCTTTCTCTTACAAATGGGTTTGGGAAAGATTGCAGGGGTGCAGTGCACCCCCTCTGTGTGAGGTCATGCTTCGCCCGTCCTCAACAAGGCTGCGGAAGGATGCCGGAGAGCTTTCTGTGAATGGGCCAGTGGATCTGGGATTGGATGACAGCTTCAGAAATTCGAGAGTCACACCCCAAGCAAAATGTTTCTTGCCCGCTGGAGAGTCATACCTTGAACAAGTGAATGCCAACCAAGAGGAGAAGGTGTTGGAAGGCTGCGGTCTTTAACGTACGACTCTTCCTCTCTTTCTTCTGCAGGGTCTCCACCGTTTTTAACATCCTGAGACAGGAAAGATAGAGATGAATTTAGTGCATTTCTCTACCACCCTCTGAGACAGACAGACAGACAGACGGATGGATGGATAATCTCTAGGGACAGTCCGTAACTTCTGGCAATTTGCCACTCAATATTACACCTTTTGTGTAACTTAAGGAAAGGGTTTTAGCCACGGAGAGAGAAATGCCGGATGTTCAAGCTGGATTTCTCCAGCAATTCCCCCCTCCAGGCCTAAGTTTCGCCCATCAAGAAAACCCACCCCAGCTTTTTCCAACCCAGAGATTTCCTGCCACCCAGAAAGCTTTAATCCCATGGTTGAGACTCCCACGGACATCCCCTTACCGGTCCCAGGCAAACTTCTCCTCTTTGCTAAACGGTACCACAGCCTCGGCATGCTCTGGCCGGGAAAGCAGGAGGTCAGCGTACCGGACGACGAGATAGATCCAGGGGTCGCCGCTGGTGGTCAAGCCATGGAGGTGCTTCTTCCTCAGCTCCTCTGCTTCGGCTGACTCCCCAAGGGCGGGCATCGTGTTCAAATGCTGAAGCAAACTGGGGGCAGAGTCGGGATTTTAGAACTGCCTTGAGCTAGAAGGCCAAGTGGATAGAAAAACACCCTACTCCCCTGATGATGATAATAATGATAATGATGATGACGACGACGACGATGATAACAACAACAACAACAACAACAACAACAATAATAATGTGATATCAAGTCAATTCTGATTTATGGTGACTAGAGATGAGAATGAACCACTGCTTCAAGAGGTAGGCCACCGAATCTCCCCAGACCGACCCACCCACCGAGCCAAGCGAGCCCGTGCCGAAAAGGCAATACCTAAAAAACGAATCCGCGGTTGCCGTGTGAGTCGACTCGCTCAGAGGCACCGACGGGACATCCCCCGTCTCTGTTATCTCTGGGGTCGGTTTCCTGGTCTTGAAAAAAGCATGAAAGAAGCAGAACCTGGAAGAAGAAGGCAAGGGTATCCTTAATACAGGTTGGTAAGGGAACGCAGGCTGGGCGGGAGGGGGACCAGTCCGGGTCGGGTGAGATGGTGGATGATTTTCCATAATGATCCTCAGCCACCACAATTACGTCGCTGGTCGGAAACACTCGTAATTTCACCTTTGAAAACAAGGTGCATGCTCTCCCCCTACCTTGTTTCCAAGGAGAATCTTATTTTCGTAAAGTCCTTGTGTCAATTCAGCCTCACGGCAGGCGTTAAGGAAACACGCACCTTGTTTTAAGGGGAAAACACGAGGGATTCTGCTCTATCAGTACGGCAGGAAGGAAGTCTAGTGGGAAGAAAGGCCCACTCATCCGTGTTGCGTCAACATGTCAAAGCGGCACACAGGCGTCTGTACATTTCCTTTAGCTTAAATTCTTTCTATCGCACCACATCTGAGGACAAACAAGCTGGACATTGAAGCTTCTCCCAAGGCGGACCGGTGAGGAATCGAACCCCCAACCTCTGGTTCTGCAGCCAGAGACTTTAACCAATAAGCTATCAAGTCAATCTTCCAGTTAATCTAGCATCTATTATAGTACTCAAGATAATTCTACTTCCTTCCTTCCATTTCACTCCTTCCTTCTATTTCATTCATTCATTCATTCATTCATTCATTCATTCATTCATTCATTCATTCATTCATTCATTCATTCATTCAAAATCTCTAGCCCATCTTTCTCCCTGGGAGGGGACCGCAAGGTGGCTCGCAACATTAAAACAGAGAACCTTAAAAAAACACAATAAATTACAGATTTTAAAGCAATCCAACTGCAACGAGCACTAAAAACTCTCGGAGAAGCATTTCAAGGTTTTAAAAGAAACGTGGAAAAATAAAAGAGTGCTCAGTTTATAGTTATTAAAAGCCAAAGCGCAAGCCACTATCCGCCACCTTGCATCTCTCACCTGGAAACGTCGGTCACAAACGCTTCTTCCCTTTTTATCTGCGGATTTTCGACAATCCCCACGAGACGGGCGATGAGCCATTTCCTCAAGCGGGTCACGCAGTGCTCAGTCAACTCCCTGCAACAAGAGAAAGAAACCGGTCTCTAAAACCACGTATGAGCATCCAGGATTTTTTTTAATGACATATAAACTTTAGGATCAGCGGGATCAGCGGGACAACATAAGCGGCAGCAGGCTCTAATATTTCCCCAGGGCCTCAAAAAGACATTTTTTCCCTCAGCAACTGGCTGCCAGGGTGCAATTTTTTAGACAAATTGTTTTGGTGGCTTGTATTTAGCATTTCTCAAAGTGGCATTTCTTGGTTCCTCTGAAATATCTGTAAACATTATTTCTTAGCTTTAAATATTGCCTTTTAATGATGCCAGCTGCCCTTCGGTGCTCGATGTTTTTAGCTCCAAATTTTGTTTGGGTTTTTTGTCATGTAAACCACCGTTGTCTACTCACTGTCTCCAGCCGTATTTTTCGCTCCATAAGACGCACCTTTCCATAAGACGTACCAATTTTTTAGGAGAAGAAAACAGGAAAATATAATCTGTTTTCTTCGCTCCATAAGACGCACAGACTTTCCACCCCCCCTGTTTTGTAGGGAAAAAGTGCGTCTTATGGTGCGAAAAATACGGTACTATCTTTCAATGATGTAAGCTGCCTTGGTCCCTTGTTTGAGGAGAGTAACAGGGTGAAACTATCTTAAATAAATAAATATTTTATTTTTATTTTTTGTTCAAAACCAGTTCAGAACTGGGGGGAGGACCTTCTCTAACTCCCCTGTGACATGACAGCAGGGTTGGTTGATCAACCAACTGGCTAGGTTCGCCTGAGAGTCATAGTTCTGCTTCCCATTAAGTTCTATAAAGGGCACCTCCTGAAGAACTACAACTCCCAGAAAGTACTGTAGCAGCTTTCTTTCTAAATTAATACTAAATGGCAAAGATCAGGAAATTGTAGGAATAATAGTTTTTTTTTCTTTTAATATTTTCAGACTACACATCAACGAAACCACAGAGACCAATCACACAGAAATGAGAGTTCTACCATACTAACGTGGAAGGCAGCTTCTTCAATTCCTATTTAAATAAAGGTTTTAATTGAGAACACAGGGTGGGCGGTTTTAAGGGGGAAAAACGCCCACCCCGTGTTCTCAATTTTCAAGATTCAGAGATGGCCACCAGTAGCCATCTCTGAACCTTGTCTGGCCACGCCTCCTCCCGCACGGCCACCCTATCAGAGCTCGCTTCATTCCTCTCCACTAAAAACGCCTCTTGCGCCCTCTAGTGACCGATAAAAATATTTTAAAAATTTAAACTTAAAAAAGAGAAAAGACTCACGTATTTGTTTTTTTCTCGTTCTGCTGCTGCCGCTTGGTAGCAAAATCCACGCAGGCCTCCAGGTCCGGATGGACGAACATGTCCTTCAGCCAATCGATGTATTTCAACAGGGCGCCAGGAAGGAGATGCTTCACCACTCTCCAGAAGGTGGGCACGACCGGGTACCCGTGATTGGTGAGGGTGGAGAAGCCGACCATGACCGCCAGCTGCTTTTCGGGGTCCTGGCACCCTTCCAGAAAGGAGCCCACCAGTGTTTCCATCTCCGGGGCGAACTTAAACCTATTGGGCAGCTGGAAGACAAGAGAGGAACGTGGAGGAGGGCCGTAGCTCAGTTGGTGGGAGCACATGGCGTACATGCTGGGAGCCCAGCTTGGACCTCTGAAAGCGAAGAAATATTGATGCATAACCAATCCCTGCAGACATTGCAGCCACTGACCTTTGTGGACACAACATGGATCCCGTACTGGCGCATCACTTCCCCTCGGAGAACCATCTTTAGCTGGCTGAGAGACAGAAGTGGAAGAGCGCTGCCCAGCAAACGGAAGCACATGTAACTACAAAAGGGGGGGAAAGCAAGGTTTTTTTTTTTAAATGGCTTCTCAACACATTTCAAATTCATTTTGTAATTCGTCAGAAACTGTCAAAACTTCCAGCTAGCTAGTTAGCTCCGTGCTTTAGGGTCTCTGGCTATGGAGCCAGAATTTGGGAGTTCGATTCCCCCACTGGGCCTCCCTTGAGTAGAGCCAGCCTGGGTAGCCTTGGGCAAGCTGCACAGTCCCCAGAGCGCCCCCAGAAGAAGGGAATGGCCAATCACTCCCTCTACCTGAAAAACCCTGAAAACAGCCGCCATGTCAGAATTGAGATGACAGCACAGCATTATTAGCTGGCTGGATAGATCAGTGAGTTAGGTCTCTGGCTATGGAGCCAGAATTTGGGAGTTCGATTCCCCACTGGGCCTCCTGGGAGAACAGCCAGCCTAGGTAGCCTTGGGGAAGCTGCACAATCCCAGGATGCCCCAGAAGAAGGGCATGGAAACCCCCTTCTGAGCTAGCTAGGTAGCTCGGTGCTTTAGGGTCTCTGGCTATCTTGCCAGAGGTTGGGGGTACGATTCCCCACTGGGCCTCCTGGGAGAAGAGCCAGCCTGGGTAGCCTTGGGCAAGCTGCACAGTCCTAAGGCACCCCCTAGTGGAAGGAAACGGTAAACCACTTCTGAATCTTCTCTACCTGGAAGGGGTGACCGTAAGTCACAATTGACTTGAAGGCACTTTTATTGTTATTGTTATTGTTGTTGTTGTTGTTGTTGTTGTTCAGAACTTCTGAGGAACCTCACCATATAGCGTAACCACAACTGGAGTAAAAATAAAACCAGTCAAAAAATAGAGAGAACAAAACATCATTTCACAGAGAACCCCCCCCCCCAAAAAACGGGAAAACAAGAAGTGGTCCAGCCAACCTGCACGGTCCTGTATGATCCAGAAGCAGTCCTTTTTCAATGGCTTCTTTCCAGAAGAGTTCAAAAGTGCCTTCCTTCAAGGCGACCTTCACCAAGTCCAGGGCGACGGTTGGAAGAGATCGGTCCCTCTTCTCAGACTTTGCCGCCATTTTCAAAACCTCCACCAACCTAGGGAGGAGACCCAACGGAAGATGTAGTTCAACATTTTGGCTT